GAAGATCAGTAATTAGAAAATTGTTCACCACCTTTGCTAAAGTATGTAATTCGTTGTTTGATACACATATATCCTTAATATACCTTCTCTAATTCATCGCGTTTAACTTTCCGTATCTGTATAATAAAATGTATTGTTTTGCCTGTTTAACCTAACGTTTAACATCATTTCCTTCCACAAAACATATATTAACAAAATTTGACATAATATGAGATAATGAGGCTGAAGCTAGCAAACTAGCAGATAAAACGCGCGGCGGTCCCTTAAAGTTTCGATATTGTTATTCGACAAAATCTTTGGTTCCGGTTAAAAACTCCCAAGAGACAGGCCAAAATACTTCTGGGTGAATATAACCAGAAAAGATCGGAAGCCTGCATCTGCCTGAGCAAGAACAGGCTACGTATTGTAACAGGGATCCTTACCGGGCATTGCCGCCTAAAAGGACACCTAAGTAAACAGAGTAGTAGAGGATAGTTAGTGCAGATTCTGTGAGGAGGAGGACAAAACCTCCATTCACATCCTAACTGAATGTGTAACACTCCAGAATCCAAGGGCACTATATCTAGGAGGATATCAAATAGAAGAGGGAGATTTACCTAACTTGAAGCCACTTCAAATCCTACACTTCCTTGAGAAAATAGGATTGGAAGGGTCGCTATAGGCATTGAGACATTTCCTTAGTGCAGTGGCGACAGAAGGGGGGCACAATAGATCTTTTAGGTCGCAGTGTATTAACACCCCATTCTCAACATAACATAGGGATTCCCAAAGTGGTGGATACCGACCCCTTGGAGTCGAAACCGGTTTCTACAGGGTCGACATAAGCGATATCTGATTTTGGGGGTCGACGAGGTTTAAAAATCGACCCCTATTAATTTCAAGATAGTGTATGAGTTGTGTTACGTGTACCAACTTGTTATGAAAATGACTAATAATTCTAGTAGGAAGTATCATTGTTGCACAAGTTCTTACAAAATAAAAACTCAGCAAGTCAATAAGCGTGGACAAGTTCATGCAAGATAATGAGTTTTGATTTGTTCTGTATTTGACGCATATACGCGATTTAACACGAACCAAATCATGATCAAGTTCAAGTCCAAACACGCTCCTGATGACAGAAGTAAGTTAGATTGTGAGGAGATCAGATATGATCATTCCCAACACTGGGTTATGTCACTCTGTTTGTTAATTTGTTAAGAATTACCATATATATTTAACTATTGACTTAAAAGTCTTACTCAGATTTTATTTTTACACATATTTATAAATTGTAAGTTTACATCCACAATTTTTGTAAATAAGCACTGATGATGGCACCATGCCGAAAGCGCTTTCCATTTAATAATTAAAAAAAATTTGCACGAAATACAAGTCTTTCCTTTTAAATTTAAACTACGTCCACACAGCTGTCAACCCGATTTGGTTATTTTAAATATTATTTATTATTTCATTTTTATCAGTCTGGGTACACTGACATAGACGACGAAACACACCCCAAACTGTGGTATTTTTTTTATATCAATAGGTTAAGAATTGTATTTTTTATTTATTTTTTTTTGTTCCACTAATATTTTTGAATGTTCTGTAGTTATCAATAATCTTTCAACTTTGTGATTTCTTTCTCACTTTTTTTTATTACTTAATACTATTACTACTATAATAATATATTTCGTACTCGAACCCTTGTTATAGAATTGTAATTTTTTTTTTTTTTTTGTAAATTATTATTATTATTATTATTATTATTATTATCTTCTGGTAATCCTGTCATCTGCCATTTCTTTTTTAGTTTTCTTTTTTCTGCTATCAGGATAGTTTTTTCCAGCTGTTAATCTTCTTACTTTTGGTGTGTTCCTCCATGAAGCTTGCTGGATTTCAACTATAAACCTTTCCAGTTCTTTATCTAGCTGATTTTTAGTTTTTAGTGTTATGGTCAGTTGAATAGTATTTGCTAAGTCCTCTTGAAAACCTTCCAATTAGTTTTAAGATTTGCTAGGGTCTGTTTTGCTTTGTTTATAATAACATTATCACTTACTTAGAGTAAGGATTACTAGAGAATGGCCTGAATCCATATCAAAGTTTTCTTCTATTTGTGTATAGTTTCTTGAAATTTTCCTCAGAATAAAGGTCTGGAATCTTATTTGGGTCGGTGAGCCAATAGCTGGATTTTTCAGAAGATTAGTATGTACAACCAAGTTCTGATGCAGCTCAGTGCAATTCTTTTCACTAGTAATACCACTAGAGGTCAAAAAATTTCCTGATATTAATTTGACCTCGCGTGGTATTCGGTAAGAAAATTCCACGCCGAATTATGGTTGAAATTAAATATTTTTAAAATTTATTTTTCGTTTCTCAACAATGCAAATTATTTTCTCCAAGTCACCAGTGAAACAAAAGGTGTTGTCGCCTTGATTGTTGAGTTGTCATGGTAACTAAGTGAGACCCTAACCTCGAATATAATTTCAGTTTTGAAGTTGTCAAGCGGCCCGACGTAAAAAAATGTTTCGCTGCAATTATTTAGGCCTTCAAATTGCTTATTTCTACTCATTGTAGTTGCATGGGAATACCATTTGAAAATAGAAAATGGTATATTCTTTAATTTTACGTAAGTTTTGAATAACTACAAGTGGTAGAAAATTGTTTTTCTGCGTTTTTATTAACATGCGTTATGAGCGCTTTAAAATGGTATGAAATTCATAACCAGCGTCAGCAAGCGTCAATCGTAGGAGGCTGTGATCATTGTATTTTGACAGTTCAAAACATTAAATAACTCGCGTTTTGTTGCGATAGAGAATATTGCATAGCAAGTAAAACCAACAAAATTACCTATTTGTTTAAAAATGAATCGATTTGAAAATCATACGCTATGCAAAATATGCGTGAAATTGTCTGATGTAATGATCAATCATTGCACCATGACTTACTTACTCGGATTAATAGAGGATTGTGGCTCCAACTTGAAAAACGAAAATTTGTTCCGAATTGTCCACGAATATTTGCACCTAAACTACGCAAAATTCAAAGTGCTGAATGGGAAAAAGGTGAATAAATTAGTGTCTAAATATTATATATATTTTATTAGACATAGACACATAATTCAAAGCATCCAAAGTCCTGCATTTTCGCCATTAAGAAGAAAAGAGGTGGCCGAAGAATATAGAAAACACCTTAGCATTGTAACTAAAATGTATCAAAACTAAACCTATTATCTGAACAAATAAAAACCAGTCTGTCAAAAATGGTCTGTTATTGTAAACGTCAAAAAATTTCCAGTATAATTCGCTGTTGGGTACCCCACGAAAAAAAAATTTCCACTAAAATACCTCCGTTGCCATGGTAATCTGTCAAAAACACGTATTTTGATTGGTTCAAAATTACAGGTGTGGAATTTTCCTTTGAATATGGTTAATTTTGAACCCCAGTTAGTGTTTTTGGATTATTTATTGTTTCGGCCTCGGTTTCGGCCTTTACTTGATGAAACTAGTTTCGTGAAAATCTACCAAATTTGGTTTTACTCATTCAAATGTTTTTGGAGTTGTAATCTCCACCGATTATAAATTTTTTACCTAGTTTTTTGAGTACATTGAGATAATTTTCTTTTTACTGGTTGTATCTTGGTGGGCAATAGATTGCAGCTATTGTAATTTTGCTCCCCTCAGTGTTAATGGTGCTATTGGTTACCTGATTTTCTGGTTCTTGGATGCCTGGTTCCTCATAGTGGGAAATATTATTTTTAATAATTAACGCACTTCCTCCTCTTGCTGCATTTGATGGATGGATAGTGTGATAGAAGTTGTATCTTCTGAATTTAATGTATGACTTCATTGTAAGATGGGTCTCAGAAATCAGACATATATCTATTTTTTTGTACGTCCAAGAAAACTTGGATATCAGTTTGTTTTTGGAAAATACCATTACCATTCCAAGTGGCTACTATAATATCTCTTTTATCCATTGGTGGTTTTGGTTTATATTTGGGGTTTATTTAATTCTTCTAGCTTCTGGAGCCTACCAGATAGTTAATCTATTCTGGTTATTAAGGATGATAATAATTCATGAGTGGTACTTTCTGCTAGGTTGGCTGTGCAGTATGCTATGCAATTTGTAGCGTGGGATTCATGGCTGGTTGTGACCTTTGAATTGGTTGCTCCTGTGAGTTTGTTACCTGAGAATATGTTATTTCATTTGTGACAGTAGGAAAAGCGTTTATGAGTCTCTTCTGCCCCGTCATTATTTTAGGTTTAATGTTGTTATCCTTCCTCATCTGAAAGGTTTTTAGCTACTTCACATCCTCTGTAGTTAACACGATGTTCCATTAGGCAGTTTATACACTTCTGTTGTTGTTCTGGACTTTTTACACAATCCTTCGTATGATGTTTTCCTACGCACTTTGTGACGGAACGTGTGACAAATTCTGCTCGCTGTAGACAGGTTTTTTGTCGTCAAACGAATATGAGAACAAAAAGACAAAAAAAAATATTTAGCACGAGATTATAAGTACAATTTTTATACCAACAATTCAGTATAATACTACCGACAAAATAAATAAAAAATCATTAAACAGCAAGACATCTAAATATAGTTTTTAGGTCTTTAAAGTCAAGCGTTACGGCGGATAAATATTGCTCTATCAAACCAACAAAAACAAATATTTAACACGAGATTTCAAATGCAATAAAAAAAATAATTTACAAGACCTTTCTAAATACATTTAAAAATACACGGTTTCGTAAAAAACATTACTCTATCAAAAATATCCAAAACCAATAGTTAGCACGAAATTCCAGATATAATTTTTAGTACGAATCACTCAGTACATTTAAAAACACAATAAATCATTACAAAGCAAGACCGCTAAATACGTTTTTTAGGTCTTTAAAAATGGACGGTTCCGCGGATAAACCTTACTTTATCAAAATGACAAAAACTAATACATGAAAATGCGCGGTTCCGCTGATAAACATTACTCTTACAGAATTAAAAAAAAAAACAATATGCACCACGAAAGATATAATTTTTAGTAGGAATGATTCAGTACATTAGTATCATTCAATAAATAATTACATAAGAAGACCACAAAATAGGATAGCCAGAACCAGAAGTAACATTATTGCGAGCATTATTGTAGCCCAAATTGTTTTCACATCAATTTTCAGTGAGCTGCTTATTTACATTCGCAGCCAAGACATATGGCCTTTCAATTTCCGAAACAATATTAAAAATTCTTGTTTTTGCCGTATGAAAATCGACAGGAGAAAAAGTCCGCACAGTGGCTTTAATACTGTCAAAAAACAAATCTATACTGTCTTTTTCTTTTGTTACTGCATTTGTTGGTTCAAGATCCTTTTGACTAAGAATATAATTCATAAGTGTTGAACTTGTGGATTCCGTTGAAGGCATTCTTCGAGATACTATCTTCTTCCTTTGAATATTTTGCTTGGGTGCTGTCGTAACTGCATCAGAAGAAACATCAGTGGTCCAATCCTGCTGTTCGTCGTTACCATCAACATCATCTTCAGCTTGTATTTCGCCTTCCTCTTCTTTGACTTGATTCTCGAGTTGTACTGAAGATACACGAGATTTAATCTTCATGTAAGGCAACAAAAAGGCCATCTCGTCCTCATATCTCCATTTCTTCTTCTTTTTGGAGGCTTGGCCAGTAGTTTCGCGCGTCTTACATATTTTTCTAAACTGAGATCGAAGCGATTCCCATCTTTGTTTGCATTCATCAGCTAAAAGAAATATAAATAATATAACAAAATAAATTAAGGTCAAAGAGAAACAAATATCTATTGGTTCTTATATTTGATAAAAAAAATAGTTTTGGTAATCAAAATCGAAACTACAAATAGAGCAGTTTTTATTTTCAAAGAATTTGCCGTGGAGAACCTCTTCATACTTAGATGCAATAAATTAAAATATGCTTGGACAAAGATGCCTGTTCGACAAAATAAAAACCAGTATATGTATCATAGCTTTTTTCGATCTTTTACTGAATTGGTAAATATTTTAGGTTACTTATTTCTGAACCTGGACAAGTAGAAGTAGCTGAGATATATGTTGAGATTCAAAAATAAAACAAACCATCGACATCTTTTGATGCAAATAATATCGGCAGAAGAATTGTAGACATTCCCTATTTTATTCAATCCATTATTTCTCTAAATAAACATGAGCCATTCGATTGTGGCTTTGGCGATATGGAATTTATAGGAGAGCACAGAATTGGTCTAATAAGCTGCTTTAGACTTCAATGCGAAATGTGTAATCTCAGTACAGATTTGAACACTGAAATTCCAAAAGTGACTACTGAAATTGTTGACAACGTGAAGCAATTAACTGCAGACATTAAAAACTCTCCTTACCACACATTTGGAAATCATTCAAACTGTACACAATATTTTTGTAAAAGAGAACAAAACGACAGAGATTATGTGACAGAAATGGAAGAATGCGGACTAATGGATGACATTGTATATGCTGGTAATAGGCTGATTCAAAACAGCCACTGTTTATTATTAAACATGACTAATAATGATGCAGGTGGTCGAACGGGCTATTCTTTTAAGACCATTTTTTGCCATGCAAACGCTTTGAAATATTTTTTTCTTTCCTTAAAACTTTAAAATGTGTCCTCTAATTTCGATGTTGAAAAAATTTTAACTACATCATTTTGATTAATTTCTTATAGAAACTGCTAAATAATAATACTAGACCATCCATAAAGCAATAAAACATTCCAAATTTTTTCATAAACAGTTTATTTTCTTAATTTACGACCAGTTAAAATTCGTCTAATTTTCATGAACTCAATGACAATTGACATTGCAGTGTGACATGTGTCTAAAAGAAATACAATGTTGCCATATCCATTATTAGATAGCAATGGTTATTTTTACCTATGCCCTGTGTTGTACCAGGCCAACCAATTGACTTCAGTATCAGAAAAATTATATAAAACTAACGATTTAAAAAATACCCACATCAAGATCTTCTTCCTCACCCTCATCGGCAGAGTACTCTTCGACGTCAATATTGATATACAATATGACCAAGCAACGACTTCTTGTAGGATGGCGGCTTCGCCGCCACCAGAAAGTACCGACATGCCGACGCACAATCATCATCAAATGAAATAAAAAGACGGATGTCTGTGATTACTACAAATGTTTTCACTTCGTTATCCAAATTCACCTGCTGGCCAGACACTATGTAATTGTTCAGCCAACTTTCATTAACCGAATTATTTCCTGGCTTATATGTTTTCTTACCCGATTTGGCAACACCGCATTTATAGAAACTAGAAACGTCAATTGTCATTGAAAATAATTTACTGTTTATTTGTTTTTCTAACATACTAAAAATGAAAAATAAGAAAATTTTATCGTTTATGAAAAAATTTGGTATGCTTTATTGCTCTATGAATGGTCTAATATTGATATTCAGCCGTTTCTACAACAAGAAATCAGTGAAAATGGTTTATTTCACATTTGTTTTATGATGGAGACCTGACAAAAAATTTTAAGGATTTTAAAGTAAAAAAAAAATTAGTGTCAGCGGACCCAAAATTGTTATGTATAGTGAGTTCCAAAGTGTCTAGAAACTTTCTATAATATTTCAATAGTTATATCCGCCGTTCGAGTGTCGGCGTATAATAGCAAAATATTTAATAAAAGAAATTTTTTGTAAATAACTTTTTTCATTCAAAATTTAATCTACGAAGTGCGTATATACCATTTTATATGCCGTAACCTTATTTATATTATGAAATTTATTTTGCAAAGTACGCCTATGGAATGTGACGTTAGATCCTCACTTTTATTCAGACCATAACTGTGATTCAACTGAAATATCTGACAGCAGAGAAAAAGAGTCTGGCAACGGTGCGTTTCAAACTAGAGAAACATTTAAACAGTTTAATAACTCGGATGCAGGCAAAGTTCCATGACAAATAAATAAAATATAATAATCTGCTCTACTTGTACATATTATTTAAAAATGATAACTGGAATATTAAATTCATTTGAATACACTTACCTGTTTTATTTAATTCATCTGCAATTTCTGTCCATCTTCTATTTTTTAATGCCGTGTCAAAGTACAATTTGTTACCCAGATTGTACAATTCTTCGCTGTTTCGAATTAATTCAATAAGTTGTTCGTCCATTTTGCCTTTAACACAAGAATAATGGGAGAAACAACCGCCGTCTGACTGTTGCTTGTACACACTGACGCAAAGGTTCACTCACGGTTCGTTCAAAATGTCCGCAAGGAGAGAGACCGCGGCGGTCAAAGATCGTGAGTGTAACGAGAGCGACGTCAATAGGAATATTTCAATTCAAATAGGTAGCATGTCGCAATATTGCATCGCGACTTGAGTGGAGCGTGACCTGAACTACAGAATCGGCTTTTAAGCTTTTTAAAACAAAAAATGATGTGATCACTTCAATATTTTTATAATCTCTTAATTTATAGATCATAATATTGAATCTACTGGTTTAATTAGCAACTTGGCTACGTTGTTATTTTTAAGACAATCTTTCATATAAAGCGAATAGGTTAAGCATTTATACAGTGTGTATACCTAAGTGGGCACCTCGGTAGGCACCATATAAAAAACTTTTTATTATTTCTTTTATGCAAAAAAGTTATTCTTCATAAAAAGTTCTGCATAGTCTAAAACCCAAAATACAACCGTTTGATATCAGTTTTTTTCAATAATGTACGAGGTTTGTCAAAAAATATGAATTTTGTGCAAAAGAAAATAATTGATGTTATTGACATAGAAAAACCGATAATTGGAAAAATCTCTTGGGGCTAAGATACTTCTGGGTGAATATAACCAGAAAAGATCGGAAGCCTGTATCTGCCTGAGGAAGAATAGGCTACGCATTGTAACAGGGATTCGTACTAGGCATTGCCGACTCAAAGGACACCTTAGTAAACTGAGAGTAGTAGAAGATAGTAAGTGCAGATTCTGTGAGGAGGAGGACGAAACATTCACATTCTGACTGAATGTGTAGCGCTCCAGAATCCACTATACCTAGGAATATATCAAATAGAAGAGGGAGATTTACCTAACTTGAAGCTACTGCAAATCCTGCACTTCCTTGAGAAGATAGAATTAGAAGGGTCGTTATAGGCATTGAGACATCTCTTTGCTGTATTAGCGACAGAAGAGGACACAATAGATATTTTGGGTCGCAGTGTATTCCCAATATAACATGATTGCAAATCGGGTTATTAGAATGGTGAAATTTCTCGCGTCAATAATTTCCAAAGCCAATACGATGTATTTAAACTCATGACAGACTGAACGTACAACCGAATGACGTAAAAAAATAAAATTTGAATTTTTTGCCGATACAGGGTATTAGAATTCATACAGTATCGGCTATAGAACGATTTCCAATAACACTTTGCACAAATGCATGTAAACTACAGACAGTTAGCATTAATACGAGCTGGTAACGAATACTATCTTCGTTGCCAGTTTACACAACCCGGCTAAAGCCTTGGTTTCTTTGAACACTCCGTCGCAGTGAGCGGACAGTCTGTCGACCGCTGAGGACAGCGATTTTCGCCCGAGGTGGTTTGTTAAAAAATATAGAAAATGAGAGCTTCTCTATGTCTGTACGTGCTGTTTATGTATTATGAATTTAAACGAAAGGTACTGAAATAAACGCAAATCAACTGTTTGCGTTGTTATTATTGTTGGAAGAGGAAGAACAAGAGGAACTGGCAATTTCAGCCGTCAAAGTTTCCAATATGCCAGTGGATAAGTTGTTTTTATGTCGCGATACAGAATGTGCCTTTAATATCACTGTGCAGCGGAGGCCTTTGGAAATGAAACCAAATTTAGGAAGTATTTTATACTTTCTACAGATCTTTTTGAATTCGTGTTGAGTTTTATAAAGGACGACATTTCCAAGAAACCTACAAATAAAGTCATCTGTATGTGTGAATTTGCCTCTCATTGTTTTAAAAATAATAATATAATTATTTGTATTCACAAACTGTCTCCGCACACGACGATGATTCCGCTGATATCAAATACTACAGATATGAACCGACTAGTCGCGACAAATCAGCGGCATGACGCCGTCCTGCTCAGCTAAGCGGATTCAAAAAAAACATTCCCATTTAAATACTTGGTTGGATAAAATCGTCAGAACGCAACGGTCGACGGACTGTCCGCTCACCGCGACGGAGTGTTCAAAGAAACCAAGGCTTTACGTTACAACGCGGTCGAATCGTATATAAATTGGCAAAGCTGATATTATTCGTTTTCTGCTCTGTCTGTACTTTTCACATCCACTTGTGCAAAACGTACTGAAAAAAGTTCAATGGCCGACACTGTAGAGGCCTTGCAATTGTCAAGAACTGTACAAATGCTACTTGCGTAAATGATGAACAAAACCGGGTCTAATATAGATTCTTGAGGCACATCACATAAGATATTTTTTTATATCTGATTTTCTAGCACTCGTTTTAACAAATTGAACACGATTTTTTGATAAATAATTTCTAAAAAATGTAATAGCTTTATTACGAGGTGGGTGCATAAAAAGTACCTAACTAGTCCGCAATCTTTGGGAGTCCGCCATATTGGTTTTAGATTGACGTCACTTAGCTAACCATACATGCAAAATTTCAGCTCAATCGGCCACAGATAATTGTTTTTAAATTCAGTTGCAAGATTTAACCTAAACAAACATACAAACATTAAAAGCTTGTAAATAGCCTAAAAATATGGCATAGGTTTTAACTCAAAATTCTCTAGGTGCTTTGGTGCCTTCGTTGGCATAAAGTAATGTGTAGTTAGTAGTGTCAAATGCTTTTGTATAAACCAACAAAACAATATTAAAACATCGTGTCTACCTATATATTAAGTGTAAGGGCAGTTGTACAACATTTATCGAAAACTGTTACAATCCAAGTTAACACTGGTTAGCATAAATACGAACTACATTTAATTTTGCAAATCATAAAATTGTTTTTTCATGGTAGATGACTGTAGTTTTCAGTTCTGATCAACCATTATTAATGACAATTTCCAATATTGTTAAAAATGCATAAAATTCATCAATTTCGACAATGCTCGTACAAAAAATTAAAATCTGATGGTTATATTTTCAATTTTAGACCATGAGGAATAACTTTTTTCATAAAACTAATAAAAAAGTTTTCCATATGGTGCCAACTTAAATAGACACACAGTTTAACCCGAGGGGTCTTTCACTCTTGGCAATACATGTACGTTTTATGCGGTACTACTTGGCATTACGACGGAATTACGTGGTATTACTTGGCATTACGGTGGAATTACTCGGTATTACTTGGTATTACTTGGCATTACTGGTATTACCAAGGTATTACATGGAATTACGTTGGTTGGCATTACTTTGAACGCATGCGCTTGAACCTCGATTGTTTACGTTCATAGCCTAACTTAAATCATTTAATGTTGGTCTTTCGTACAGTGCAGTTGTTAGAAAGTGGTTTTTGCAAAAATTTATGTTTCAGGTAAGTAAATACATTTTAATTTGAGATTGATTGGTCAATTGAGATTTTAACTTGCTATTATAAAAAGCTAGAATTTTGCTTTTTAAATAAAAAATTTCAACACGTTTCATGAAATCGGGTAGAGTGGATGAGGTAGAGTTGGGTAAAGTGGGAGGTAAAGGTAGATTGGGGTCTAGTGAGGTAGAGGGGGATAAAGTGGGGCGGAGGCAGACTAAGAGTAAAGTGGGGTAGAGTGGGATAAAGTGGGGCGGAGGCAGACTGGGAGTAAAGTGGGGTAGAGTGGGATAAAGTGGGGCGGAGGCAGACTGGGAGTAAAGTGTGGTAGAGTGGGATAAACTGCGGTAGAGTGGGGTAGAGTGGGATAAACTGCGGTAGAGTGGGATAAAGTGGGGTAAAGTGGGATAAAGTGAGGTAGAGTGGGATAAAGTGGGGTAGAGTGGGATAGTGGGGTAGAGTGGGGCAGATGCAAATTGCAGATTAAAATCGATTTAAAATCACTTTATTTAAATTGCAAAACAATTGATTGAAAATAAATTACGTTTACATCTTCCTTATCACTCGAATTTTTTTAATTGTAAATTTTATAAAAGAATATTTCTTGCAAAATAACAATTTTTAATAAACTGAGGATGATTTTGAGTAACAATTGTATTTAAAAAGAAATCCGAGACGATACAGCTCTACAAACATGCTTCCATTATTCCAAAAAAATTAAGTGCTCTAAAAATTAAATGAATTGCATTTATTCTAGGGAAGCTTTTCTACAGAGAATGTTGTATACGTACAAGATACTGTGCATATTGGCACCAAGATTAAAACAAGAATATTAAATCCTAAAATACATCTTCCAATTGGTGTCTTTGTAGTTAAGAAAAGTCATTTGGAGAAAATAATATCCGAAGTTTCAAAAGATCAACATAATTTGGGCTCTAGCCATTTGAATGGTAACGTTTCTCAGCTTTCAAGCTTGTGCTGTTTAACAAAATATTTTATACTTTTTTAGGAGCGGACAAAATGAACTTTGAAGCCATTGACAGAATGTCTTCCGAATGCGTTTTGGATCTTCTGGCAAACTATGAGGAAGCAAAAGGAACAAGACAAATTTTGAAAATTACCCGCTACGTCCTGGACTCGTTTTTGGATAAATCTATTGAGATTGAAAAACGTATATACAATATGTGGTACTCAACATTATTTTTACGAATTTGGGGTTTGTGGTTAAAACAAGAAAAATACAGTATTAATAAAAATTGGATTACTTCAAATACTTACACATCTATAGAGCCCAATGCTCACGCATTACTGGTTTTAATTGAAAAATTTCGCCATGAACCTGAATGCTTTTTACCATGGCTTTTTAGCTCACAACCATGTGAGAAATTTTTTAGGCAACTGAGATCTATGACATCAACATACTCTACAATTGTTAATTTTGACATGTCAGAGATTTTAAGAAGAGTAAACAGAGTTCAAATCATTAATGATATCATGCACGATGAAGGTAAAAAGCGCTGTAATATTACTTTGAATACATAATTTGTTTTCTTTTTTGTTTCAGAAAACTTTATTTTTCCTCGAGAAACTCACAAGAAAATGGGTACAAATAATAATACGACCAATATTGTGATGCCCACTTCCGAAAATATCAAGTGTATTATTGAAGAAGCTAAACGAAATGCATTTGTTGAAGCATCTGTTTTGGGTATTAAGCTATTAAACAATGACTTGAATGTTTTATTGCCGGAGATAAGCGAAAGATTAACTGACGAAATAAGAGATAAAGAATCAGAAGATGAAACAGAAATATCCAAAGA